GGCTATTTTGGGGTGTTTCATAATCACATGTGACCCATTTGGCTTCCGTTTTACGTTTGAGATTAGGATTAGGGTACCGGTTAATTTTTTCCGATTTTCGGGTTAGGGTTATGCATTTAGGCTTAGGTTTTCGGGTTACGGTTAGGGTTTGAGCGTACGATCAGGTTTCAGAATTGCGGTTAGGTTTTTCTATTACGCTGCAGTCACGTTTACGATTTCGCTTAGGGTTAGGGTCAGGGTTGCCGTTAGGGTTAACGGTTAACGTTTACTGTTGAGGTTAGGGTTAGGGTTAAGGTTAGGATCAGGGTCAGGTCGCCGTCCGCTTCCCATTCCTGGCTACCAACTGCGATCTAACCCTTTTACCTTACGCCAGTTAATGTAATACCATCTCTTCTTAAACCGCTGATTGCATAGGCTTGGGTTAAACGTAAAATAACTCACGTGTTTTAAATCAGGTATAGAATATAATTGGGGTTTAGGTGAGCATACAATTTTATGAACATAAACCTTACTCTGGTAGGGGGCGCTCACCGATCGTTCATACGGAACTCACTCGTTCCGTTGTGCCTTATGGACTCTCTCTCGAGCCCAACCAGCAGCCGCACAGCGGCGCATGATATATAGGCAGAATAGCATTACCGACAAAGACAAGGGAGACTGGAATGGCCATTTCTGGCTGACGACGGCTAATAAGCCAGAAATGGCCATTCCAGTCTCCCTTGTCTTTGTCGGTAATGCTATTCTGCCTATAAACCTTACTGTACGGGATTTGTGGCGGGCCCAGTGTATTTCACACGATGTAGGCTTTACTTAATGGTAAGTTAATCGGTCTTTCGAACTCCGAGTCGGATACGTGCATTGGGTGAACTTATTTTATCAGTAAAAAACCAAAAATGGTTTTGTCCCCACATTTTTTCATTCTGACTTAATTTAAATCACTCTCAGGTCTCTACTCACTCAACAAGCGCTATTCATAACGCTGCTGAACAAAAAGAACGTTCATCCATTCCTAGGAGTACTGTTCAGGGGGAAGTTTAACGAAACTATGCAGCAGATTTTGATAACTCGAAAATCTGCGAGACTTCGTAGAAGGCTCTGTAGCCGGGGAGCTCTAGCAAAGCTTGGAGCACAATTTTCAAAAATGGTGGACGTTTGCAAAAACAAGCGTGTAGCACCAGTTTTCCTCCTAATCAGTACGATTTCCTGGTGAAGTTGTAACCTGGGTCAATAATTACACAAGAGACAATCAAATAAGGCAGTCGGTGAAGAGTGAAACAAAAGAGAACGGAGGGAGAGGGGCCTGGTAGATCACAATCGGATGAAGGTTTAGGGCTTCTGAATTTACTTTAGTCGCATATGGACGTGCCGTAATAGGACTTCGAGTCATGGCAATCTCAAGGTCCGCAAGCTTGCGTTGAATTATTCTCAAAAGTATACAGAATGTATGGTAAAACGGAGTAGCCGGCAGTGCACTGTTAACGCATAGGATTAGATGAAATAACTGTTCAAAGAGAAACTCGCGGATAAAAGTAATATTTATTTTTGAAAAGTCAAGTTAGCAAACTAGTGCTTTCGGTACTTCTTCTTCAGGCCAATACAGTTACATGAAGGAATGAAAATACACAAAATTAACAGTGTTTATAGGTGTCTCAAGGGCTATTAAGTCATTAACACTCACGCCGTCGGCATGGCGAGGTCGGCGGGTTTTGGTCCCCAGAGCTAGGTGAGAGGGGTAAGAGAGGCCATGAGTGATGTTCTTGGATTGAACACACGGAGTACCCATCACTGTAATTAGGGATTTGAGGCGGCATGTCGTCATCACTTGTGGTTAGCGTTGGCCACGGCAGGGAGGGCGCTTGTGTCAGGGTTTTTTGACAGCATGACACTGGATTCGTTAGCCGTATAGCCACTGCCTCGGTCGCTGATAGCATCCCTTGGCGTAGGCCTTTAGAGAAGTTTGTTGGTGTCCGGTAGACAACCTGAAATGCTTCCTTGGCATTGACTCGGTGATCCGTATCGATTAAATGTGCGAGAATAGAACTCGAAATCGTTCGGGTCTCACATCTGTCTAACCATGCGGGCATATGTTCACGCACCCTTTTTGTCAGGTATCTCGACGTACGGCCAATGTATCCCACTCCACGGGAGCAAGTGAACTAGTAAATGGACATTGATGTGGCCTCCAACGGTAGGCTGTCTTTACCTCCCAAACATAGGAGGGGAGAGTTTGTGAAACAGGCGTATATTCTCCGCGGAGAATGCTCTCGAGATAGCTGCAGTTAGGCACCGTCTGACTAGTTCGCTCGCTGCGTCCCCTACAAAAGGCAGTCTTATGAATACATCTTTCTTTTCTGCAGCCGCAACGGTGGGCTTTGCGATGCGTTCCCCAATATTTCGGAGGATAAATCTATCTGGGTATCCGTTCTCACGAAGTGTGTTACGCAGTCGTTTGAGCTCTACTTCAATAGCTTCAGGTGAGCAGATGCGCCTCACTCTATCTGCCAATCCCTGGACTAGATTTCGTGTGATGTTGAGGGGAACAAAAATATGGAAATCAATCTATTGTCCCATCCAGGTTTTCTTTCGGAGAATCCTGCGCTGGATAGACCCATCCTCGTGCTTGTGTAGAAGGACATCGAGAAACGCAATTTCGTTATCTGCCTCGGACTCTGCAGTGAGTCTTAGCGATGGGTGCGCACTGTTGAACTTTTGGACAAGGTCGTCGATATCGGTGGTACTATCCGCCAGGCAAAAGATATCGTCAACGTACCGACCGTAGAATACGACATCATTAAGGGTACCTTTTAACCTTGTTTTCTCGACTTTGCCCACAAAACATTTGCAAGGAACACTCCAAGACGTGAGCCCACCGCCACGCCATCTATTTGTCCGTATAGTGGACCACTGTACAGAAACCGGACATTTTTTGTGCAACACGTCAATAGTCCTTTTAGCGTTTCCACTGACATGTCTATGGGGTAGTTCGTATCACGAATAACATCACAAAAATAGTTTATTACTTCTGCCAAAGTTACGTTGGTAAACAGCGATGATACACCCAGTGATAACATTCACCGTCCGCCAATGTTCGTATTTTTGGTAATTTCGACGAAGGAGTCTTTTAAACTTCGAGGGTACAGGTGAACTTTCAGGCCGTACGACGAGACCTGACAAAAAGGGTGCGTGAACATATGCCCGCCTGGCTAGACAGAGGTGAGACCCTGTCGATTTCGAGTTCTATTCTCGCACATTTAATCGATGCGGATCACCGAGTCGATGCCAAGGAAGCATTTCAGGTTGTCTACCGGACACCAACATGCTTCTCTTAAGGCCTACGCCAACGGATAGTAGCAACGGCCGAGGCAGTAGCTATAAGGTTAGCGAATTCGGTGCTGTGCTGTCAGAAAACCCTGACACAAGCGCTCTCTTTGCCGTGGCCAACGCCAACCCCAAATGATGAAGCCATACCGCCTGAAATCCATAATTACGGTGATGGGTACTCCCTGTACTCAATCCAAGAACATCACTCAAAGACTCTCTTATCCCCTTCCCCTAGCTCTCAGGACCAAAACCCGCCGACCTCGTCATGCGGACGGCGTGAGTGTTAATTACTTAATAGCGCTTGGTACACCTATAAACACTGTTAATTTTGTGTATTTTCATTCCTTCATGTAATTGTATTGGCCTGACGAAGAAATACTGAAAACACGCTTTTGCCAACTTGACTTTTCAAGCGTAACATGGGAATATTTGCGCAATATTTCTTTTTGTTTATGGGGACTTAATCTAACGGAAAGACAATATTGCCTTCTCTTCTGCCGCAATGAGCATTCGAGGTTGTTATTCACTTCAGATATTCTTAGATTTTAGGGGCATAATTTCCTGAACCATAGCTTGTTCGTCGGGGATGGGTGTCCC